CTGGGGAATTCTGGGAGTTGAAGTCCACACGTCTTAAAGTCGCCAAGGTTGAGAAACGCTGCAATTGACACTGACCTAAGTGAGTTCCGTGGGCAGGAGCAACGGGGAGCAGAAGATGCCGGAAGCTACTACAGAGGCTGGGTGAGTCATACGGACCCGGCTTTTGAACGAAGGAGCCAGCAGGTGCAAGGAGGGGTCAAGAAAGAAGAGCCAGCCGCAAGAAATTTGGAATAGTGTCGAGCAAGGAAAGGGGGACAGCTGGAAGTGAGTTAACATCTGAGCATCTGTCATTTTACCCCTGAAGATCTGTTCTGGAGAGGATAAATGGGCAGGCTTATTGAAATATTTGAATCCCACTTCTCTAGCATCCATGCATTCCTGGGGAGGCTCATTAAAAAAAAATAAAACAGCGATACAATATTAAGCATGTTCCATTCCAAAAGTATTTATCTTGGGCGGTCTGAGATATCTTGGGGGGCTATTTAAGGCCTTTTGCAAAGATGGGACCCCCACTCTTCCCTTCGGGGTCAGGAATGGGTTTGGCTGGAAAGCACTGGAAGGGGAAAACCACCTCATCCTTTTTGCAACCCGAGGCCAAAAGGAAAAGGTGGGTCTCACCCAGCCTTTCGTTAGAATAGTTTCGATAGGAACTAGAAAACTTGGCAGGCTGCAAGAAACGCTGGGGTGCGGTAGATTCCTCCTAGAAATCTCACAACGAAGAAGATTCCTATCGTAGGCTCTACTTGGATCCTGACATCGCCAAATGTCCTTTTGCAGAAACACCTTCAGGTTGCAGTCACTGCAGCCAAAAAAGGTCAAGGTGGTGGTCACGACGATGCAATGAAAGCTTTGCCCAGATGCACATGATGACCAGGAAGAGCTATGACTGCATCGCTGGGATCGCCATCTTGACCTTTTTGGACCACACCCCGCAGACACCCCCACCAAGCTGCACAAAAGAGCTTCAACACCTGGTGGGAGTGAGACGGGAGGGGGAAACACTTCCAGAGCCAACACGACCCCTATGGTTTGTCCGTGTTTTGTTGTACACTTGCAAATAAATGAACCGAACAAATCGAAGACCACGGTTGCTGCACGTGCTCCTTTTCTCCTGCAAAGGAACGGGATGGTGGAGCGTAGGGGAGAGGACCTTCAGAGAAATAGGCAAGAACCCTAGGCAAAAGCG